GGGGACACTCATCTTGGGTTCCTACCCTTTTTTATTCACCCTTCTTTGATTGTTTTGGGAAAACTAAAAGACCCTTTCATTTCAAAAACTCATCTCTCTCTTTCTCTCTCTCGCGCACACATACACACATAAAAGTTTGCAGATGGGTTTGCTCTCCCATGATTTGGGGCGATAAGTTCGCATGCCACTAAATTTTAGTATTTTAATGGGTTTTTTTTTTTTACAATTTTTGTAAGTATTTTTATTACTGTTATTGTAATTATTTTTATAACTTTTTTTTAATATCACAATAATAATAAAAATATTCACAAAAGTAATCCTGTCGATACCATAGACAACTCTTTTTTATTCTCCTTGTTTTTATTTCGTTTCATCACTAGATCCCAGGACTTTTGTCTATGCTAATAGTTTACAGCTAATGACTTTCTCTTCCAAACATAGGAGTGATAATCTGCTTCTTTCGTGGCTTTATATGTGCTTCATTTAAATTTCTGTCATATCGTTTTAGAATAAGAGTAATATTATTTGAATTTAATTTATTGGTTTAATTTACTAATCAAATACTAATTCATAATCAATAAATTGACAATGAGAATTAGTATTCTTTAGCCGTCGCTACCAATAAAATGATTGTTATGAATTATATCTACAAATTAGGTCCAATAATATTATTATTAGAATAATGATGTATATGCCAAATTTTCGTTTAAGAGTCTAAACCAAGTTTTTTCTGTATTTTGTCAAAGTTTTCTCATTTAATGATATCGATAACTAGGTGAGCGGATGTCACGATAAAAGAAAGAAGGAAAAAACGAAAATTGTTATAAAAATTTAGACTTATTTGAGTTAAAATACAATATGGAAAGCTATTTGGGTTCAAGTGCATTTTTTTAGATAATGACTAAAAAGCCATTAAGTTGAAGGGAAAATAGTGCACAACAGATTTTGATCCCAACCGTCCGTCATCTTCGGCTCCATTAAGGAAATAGGCAGAAAATCGGGAAGCATAGATCACGTCCCTTGGTCTTCAGCAAATTTAAAAATCGAAAATATTGCAAAGATTTGAAAGACCAGAATATTTGGAAAGTTATTTTTGGATTGCAATTTCAATTAGGTTACTTTTCACATTTCGAGTTCAAAATTTTTTAAAATTTTTTTGGTGAAACTGTTTGGTATATGTCGTTGTTGTAGCTCTTTGTTGTCACTGGATAATACGATTGTCTGGTGTAATATTTTGGTTTAATATTACAGGTCGTTGGTTTATTTGTTTAGTGTCCTTATATGATGTACCTCGTTTGTGTAATTTATTGATTCACCCAATTTGGTCTGTATAATTGATATAATCATGCGGTGATACTGAATAATGTAACTCTTTGGTCTAACTAAACAACTGAATAATACAATGGATTGATTAGTCTAACAATTTTTAGAACACATGAATAACTACTTAGAGCATTATAGGGCAATTGTAACTAATTGATGTAACTGCATGGTAAAACTATCTTTAGAACATGAATAAATTGTTGGTGTATCATAAGACAATTATAACTAATTAGTGTCGTATAATTTTTTTCAAAACACATAAATAACTATTTGGTATATCATAAGACAATTCTAACTAATTGGTGTCTCATGATTGGTGTAACTGTTTAGTCTAACTATTTTCAGAACACATGAATAAATTATTGGTGTATCATAAGACAATTATAACTAGCTAGTGTCATATATAATCAGTGACTGTTTAGTGTAACTGTTTTCAGATCACATGAATAATTATTTGGTGTATCATATAGCAAGTGTAAATGGCTAGTGTAACTGATTAGTGTACTTGTTTGTCGCCGTGTTGATATCAGACTATGACGAAGTAATTAATTGGCGTAACTCTTTACGTTTTCGACTTTTGACATTAATAGGACATTATGTAAGACTTATTGGTACACAATAGAGTTTACCATTACAATTACAACTATGAAAAGAGATACACCATAGGGTGTAGTTTTCTTAAATTATAAGCTCCACAATAATATGTCCAGATAGAATGACTAAAAAATAATACAACAATAATAAAAAAATAACATGATATTAATAAAAAAATAGTTAATAGAATTTTATTAATTTTAAAAAGTAATACAATCACATAGGCTCATTATAAGTGTTCTTATTATGACTCTCACTATCCACAATGCCCCAATTGAATTTGCCTAATAAGTTCCTCCCTTGAACTTATTCTAAATTTTTTGGGTCGGTCAGGTTGCCTTTTAGTTAATGGCGACAAAATCTCAACTTTGTCAACCGGGTAACAAATGTCTCACAATCATATTTGCATAAAAACCAACACTATTTCCTTCGTTCCTGAGTATGACAATAAAAAAATAAATGACTTTCTATCTTATAACATAACAGTTCCACCAAAGAGAATCAAACAATAATATTATTTAGATATTTATAAGCATATAATGCTGATCTATTTTTTTGTAGAACATAAAACGTACAGTTTCATCATCAAATGGTGTATAATTGAAACCAAAGAAAAAAGGGGCATAAAACATATTTCTAAAAAACAAGAGTTTCACCCATGATAATCCTTAAAAAACTGTTTTACCCATGATAATCCTAAAAAACCAGTTTCACCCATGATAATCCTAAAAAAAAAATAGTTGCTATGATTTTTGCAAAATGTAAAACATATAGTTTCATCCTACTATGGTGTACAATTGAAACCAAAGGAAAAAAATGGCAGGAAACATATTTCTAAAAAAATAGTTTCACCCATCACGACCAAAAAAAAAAAAAAATACGAGTTACATCAATAAAATACATAGTGTGAAAATTCAAACAATATATTAACGTTAAAATTGAAATTGATTGGTTGGAAAAAATGGCCGTTAAAAAGAATTATTAAAAACTTACATGCGTTGTCGATGATGAAAATCAGATATTCGGAAGCAAACAAAAATAAACAAAGAAGATCAAATGATTTCTACTGCAAACTAGAGAAGAAAACTAAATGTAGAAAGTTGACGTTGAATGTTGGACGTTGATGGCTAGATGTCGAAAGCGAGACGTTGAAGATTTCTCATTGAATGAAGCAATTGAAGATTCTCATTGAATGAAGCAATTGAAGGTAGACTGAATACAAAAAATGCAGTTCAAAATTCAAAAAAAATGATAATATCCAATCAAATCTGCACATATTTGATTAGATACATAATTGCCAATTAATCATGCATAATTTGAGGAAGGGTAATTAGTTAAAATAATTTTAATTTCATTTGAATTTTGTACATAAACATAATATTTTATTAAAATTGTACTTAATAGAGTAAATAACTTATCCGTATATTATTTTTTTAAATAAGTCTAAAAAGTTATACCCATGCTCAAAAAATCCAAGAAAGAATAATACTCGGTAATCCAATAGCTCACGTTTACTTAAACAGAAAATTTTGATAAAAAAAAATTTAGTGAGAGTAGAAGTTGAGCAATTGACCGATTGAATATTCAACCACAATGACTTTTGATTAAGGGGAGTGGGGGTGGGACAAAAAGACACCCATTTTTCCCACACCGATGATTATTTAACATTAGTGGGCCATGCTGGCTTTATAGTTAGAATTCCTATTTTTATTTTTTTCAATGATCCAGAGTATTTGAATCATTTACATTAGAATTAAAATATTCTTAAAAGATAAATTTTTCATAAAGATGTTTTAAAAGATTGTCAAGATTCAAATTCAAAACGTTTAGGTTTACGACTCATTCTTGTTATTAGTTGAGTAACTCATCGGGGTTAAAAAAAAAATTATTTTGGCATGTAAGCCTTTTATTAAAAGAGCATGAATATTGTAAGAGTAGAAGATGTATTTTTATTATAAGTAGGAGTTAAAACTTTGTTTTTGGAATCAAATTTGTAGATTAAATAATGCTAAAAACTAACATAACCAGTTAAATATTTTTGGGTCACTTTATTTATTGGGTGACAGACTATCGCATTATTTAGGCCACGAATTTTAGTTGCAAAATTTAGTAGCATTGTAAACCCCCTTGGCATGCACCGAGTAGATTGGTAAGGAAGTCGACAAACCTCTCTCTCTCTCGGACATTGATTGCATGATGTAAGGGTCAAGCAAATGGAAGAGAACTTTAATGAAGTTGAAGATTTTGTAGTTGTGGAGTGTATTTCAATCATTCATGACAATTAGCCCAAAGACACTTGTCTGTTTGTGCAGACAAGAACGACAAACTCTCTCTCTCCACGAACTCGAGTTGCTGCCTCTCTCTCCCTCTGAGTGTATGAGACTTTTTGTGTCCTTCTAGGACGTATGCCTGCATGGAGTGACTACTGAAAAGTAGTGAGAGAGAGAGAGAGAGAGAGAGAGTTTTCAGCGGTCACTCCAAAAAAGGATGTTCCTAGGAACCAACCTATGTCACGTTCTCCAACTAATTCCAAGTCTTTACCCTTCATTTATAAAAAGTAGGCTGATTTTGCTGAACATAAACATCCCTGATTTAAGCAACTTGGCCCTTCAAACCAAGCTGGAATCTTTCACAAGATTTCTGAATAATGCACTTTTTGTTTTTTCTTTCTCTAAATCATGCATCTGCTTCGCATATGAACTGTTCTGCAACTCCAACCATTTTATTGAACTTGTCGTGATAGATTAAATATGAAAAATGCATGCCTCACATAATTTTGTTTTTTCTTGTCACCACAGCATTAAAGCACAAGTAAAACAGAATATTCATGATTTAAAAAAAAAAAAAAAAAAGTTGGCCTCAACAAATAAAGGAGAATTATCCCAAATCTGAAAACCATAAATGTCAGAATTTTGTTTGTCTTGGTTGGGTACTGTTTGGGGGACTTTCCCTTTAAAGAATGAGAAAACAGCTTGAGACAACACCAGAATAGAAGAGAATGGACATTGTTCCTCGTACAAAACTACTTTAGAAAAACTGTGTGTGTGTGTGTGTACTCAGTTGTGGGTAAAACTAGAGTTTAAAATCCACTTACATTTGATGCTGAGAAATTTCTATTTATTGGATTACTTTACCATTCTCCACAAACCTGTGATCATTATATCAAAATCTGTCAGCCGAGAGAGGCAAACCCTACTCAGGGCTCTAATTCTAATGCTTACTTCCCTCTAAGTTTACAGTAAGCATAGAGACAGGACCCAAGAAAACCAAGAGATTGGCCAACAACATTCAGCTGAGATCAACACATGAAAAGCAGTTTGCATGAGAAACTTAGAAGAGAGAAATGTATAAATACAGAGCATGGGGAAAAATGAACAGAAGGGAATAGAAGGTATGGCTTACCAAATCAAAGGGAAGCCCCCCAAACAGTACCCAACCAAAACTGATTGTAAAGAGGTCCTGCAAAAAATGTGCAGGTATAAGCGGGGCACTATGGTGGCAAACATTTGCATACCATCAGGGAGAGTTCATAAGACCAAAGCTCAACGATTATTAATGATCAAAGACAGTTGTCTGAAAGACCAGATTCGGATGAAGGCATATCCTTCTGGCCTGTTCAGGCTAATCCAACTTTGTTCCAATATAAATGCAAGCACTTCCTGCCCCATATAGACCATTAAATTGACCATTGAGCAAAGTCATAAGAACATACTATAAGAACAGCATAAAATAGGCACAACCTTTTGTTCCCATACTGCCAAATCTTTAGGTTTGTCCAAAATAATGCAATCAATGACGGAAGTGGGGATCTCTGGGAACTCATTGAGCATGTTATATATAGATGCATTATTCAATTCCTCATAATAAAGGCAGTCTAACCCAACAATACAATCTTTGACAGTGAGATGTTACAAAGCAGGTCTATTTATCAGCCATGTTTGACCACCTGAGCAGTTATCTTTCAAAGTGATGACGATCACCACATGGAAGCCATGGACTGGACAGTCCACAATTTAACCTAACGCAACAAAATGAAAATTCCAGAATTTAAGGTAATGCAACCAAGAGGAAGCTGTGCACTGGACAATACAAAAGTTATCTACCAGAATAATGCAACAAAACAATTCTATCTTGTTAACATCAGGATGGGTGCAAGATTCATGTATGTATATATTGTCGGAATGTACTATCACACCTTTAGATTTCCGCATATTGTCTGCGTGAGTGCTGAATTGACTGTTGTATTTAAAAATACACTGTAATTCAATAAGAAAGCCATAATACATGACAGAAGCATCACGGCCTGCAAAATATTTCAATACAGCAATTCAAATCAAACCTTCATATGTTCACATCGTTCACTGATTTGTCTTTCAAGGAAATTACCAACTCAGGACACGTCATAATGAGAAAGAGAGAAATTACAACCATATGAATTGAACTGGATCAAATAGCAGGCTAATGCAAATGAAAACAAAGGGCATAAACAAATAGAGAATGCTCAAACTCAGTTTCTCTGAATGCAATAATGGTTCATCATGGACTGGAACCGTGAGAGTGTTGTTCTAGTTGTTTAAATCAATCACAAGAAACAAACATTGTAGATAATGGCAAGAATGATGAGTACTTTTGTTATGAGAGAACCATAGATAAGAGGAATTAGTAGGCAGGTTCACAGTACATGCTTTCGACTCAAGGAAAAAGTGGAACATAAGTAATTTAATTTAGACATCAGTCAAGGAAGGAAACAACTTGCTGGCTAAATCACATTGAAGAAAAAAGCTGTATGATCCTTACGCATCTCTTGCACAAAAGGCGGATGCACTGATGAGAAGCTTTGTGAATATGGAAGAAAGATAGATGAGGAAAAGAAAAAGAAAAAGAAAATGGAGTTACACGAACAAGAGGTATAATCTACCATACCCATGTTGCCAAGGTTGAATGGTACTTTAAAAGTTATTACTCTTTGTCTAAAATTAAGCACCTGAAAACCATAGGAGAATAAATAAGGGAAACTTATAGTCATTTCCAGGTCGCCTCTAATATATGTCCAGAGTAGTAAGATTGGTCCACATATTACTCCTACAATAAGTAAGGTAAATGTTAGTTCAACTAATATCTTTAGCCTCAGGAGAGCCAATTATCATTCGTTTACAAGAAAATGTCCAGAACAACATATACGATTTTGGAATGTATTGTCATACCATTGCACCACATGAGACCAAAGCTGTTAAGGCCGCTGGACTTTCCTACAATTAATTAGTCACAATATGACATGTCATCAAAGGAAATGCCAAACCTTACCGATAAAAATGAGGCATGAAAAAACATGAGGGCGAAAAATACTACCAACACGGGCTATACAGGCTAGATATATTGCTGTACTGATATTTGAAATGAAAACAACAGCATAGCTGTAGAAGTCATAAGACAAATCCCGAGATCCAGCAATAACTGCACCAACTATTATTATCCCTACACTGAGCAAAACAATGTTAGTTTTTCATCATGACAGATATGAACATGAAATTTCTAGATATAGCAAGAATAATCAGATCATGAATTTGTATACTTCTACAAGTTTTTATAAGACATGGCTAGACCTCTAGTATTCACTGACAAAATTAAACTCAACCATTACAACTTCCAGATTATTACTATTCCCTTATGCGTGGTAGATAAATTCATGAGCAAGAACTTGAGAACGCCTGACAATCTACACTGACACATGATTTTATTAAAACAAACAAAACAGCATTATCTAGTTTACATCATCAATCTCTGCATCAGAGGTAAGCAACGGTTAGACAGATGTAATCACCTGCCAACAACATAAAGTGAATGCTTCTGCCCTGCCAAAATATACTCCACAAGCATTGTAAAAGCCACAGTTGTTCGTCGGAGGGTGGTGTACATAGGAACATTTACCCCACGGACAGATTCCATTGAGACCAGCTTATACAAGAAAAGATACAGGTGAACATACTTAGCAGGGAAAAAAAACAGCCAAAAGAAAAGAACCAAATGTGAAGGCCAAACACTACCATGTAAACCAAGTATGATAGTGCCAGGGGAAGGGTGTTAAGCATTGTCTTTAATGGTACAAGGGTTGCCAAGTGGTTATCCATGCTCTGCGGTTCATCTAGTGTGAAAGAAATTACCTTCCAGCATCTCAAAGCATAGAGAAATAAGCATGAACATATCATCTAGAACACAAAAAAAAAAAAGGCTCAATTAGTGGATGTGAAAAGATCAAACCTAAATTTGACAAAATGATTCAAGTGCCTTCAAAACTCAATGGTTGAACAACTATAGCATACTAGGCACACCAACTAGAATTTTAATCAATAACTAACAATTTTTCAGTGTTAATAGAATTCAGCTCTCAGGAATACATAAAAAGTGAGAGCATACATGGCGTAGCATTGAGCAAACAAACATATCAACAATTTAATGACCAGAGGATGGGGTTGGTGTCAATTTGTCAAAGATTTGAAAACTAAGATCTGCATTCAGTTTACAGATTGAAGCTCCACTGTGTCCTTCTCTAAAATGTAATTAAACAAATAAATCACATCATTAGTCTAAGGTACCTCCATAATGTTATCCTCATTGAATATATAAACATTCACTCGAGTTTTTTTTTTTGTTCATTTGGTTGGGTTCCTATACAAGCAAGTAAAATTTTTCCAACTCAAGAATTGTAGGCTACAGTAAAGCGAGGGAGCTACCTGAAAAAGTGTGATAACATTTGCACATGGAAAATGGTAAGAAGAAAGGGCTGCTTTGTTGAACATTACCAAGAGAACTGCGGAACAGACATGGAAGCAGGGTCACAGTACTTAATATACAACCATGAAACTTTACTATCAATGTTGATAAAATCATAGTAACCATTGCTGCAAAACCTCAAGTCAAATCAGCATCCAACAATAGTGAAATTCTACAATCACAAGGCACGTGTAATTCAAGCACGAAAAACGAACTACATGGATGATAATAATAACAACGAAGGAAGTTTTATGCATTTATAGGGGTTCAAACTTGTAATTTACATCCTTCATAGTTACATACTTCAATGCCACATTACTGTAACAAATAATGTATGGCACACTATCCCTAAGGGGCCATATGGAAAATCATACATATGGCATATTCCTTCATTATGGATAAGCCTTTAATGTCAATTTGCCATGAGATGTTATGTTAAGAAGATAGGCATACCTCAAATGTCAAATGTTATCCAGAAACACTCATATCGGCTGTCGCCTTCTTCTGAACTAAGCAAACTTCTGATTTGACTAAATATAATTTCAAGTGGTGCTTATTTTTTAGCCAAAATTTTGAAAAACGAAATAAAATTTTGAAGCTCATTTTAAAATTAGTCCAACAAATTTTCTACTCATGGTCATCATGTTAAGAATACATCATTTGGACCTATTTTTTGGAGGAACTATTCAATAGAACGGTGATACTTATATGATCTCTGACAAGTGGTATCATCACTCATTAACAAACGAACAAATGGGCCAAGGGAACCCTACTTAATCCAATGAGGTAGGTATTAGATATGGTGGTTACCAGAATTGCAGTTGGTTAATAATATCCTGTGAATGATGGCATAATATCAGCATTGCATTGGGTATTTACTCCTTTTTTAATCCTATTTTTCAATCAGACGGGGATTAATCTTGCCATAATTTAGCACAAGTGACAGATATTGAAGATGATTTTTTGGAGTTGCCCATGGTACCGAAAAAAAGAAATTTGATAACGTGCCGATACTTACTACGTTTGTGGGTGTTTTTATCAGTGTTGTGGTACCAAATATTGTTTTGAGTACTGTCGTCAAGTCCTGATTTGTTTTGCCATTTGTGTTCAATTTTGGTATTAGCACACATACAAAATGACCAACCATTAGCTTATCGAAAAAATGGCCTACCATTAGAGATGGTCTAATATAAACACAAAAAGCCACAAGCCATGCTCCTATCTTTTTGGGTTTGTACCTATAGTACTCTCAAAGGAGGAGGGCAATCAAACATTATTAAATAACCCAAAAGAGAATGGAAAAGGTAGCAAAAATATTCTACAATAACACAAAATGCCATTAACAATTTTTTGGAAGAGCATGGAGAAAAGGTGAATATACGAACCTGCACAAGCCATGTAAGAAATGGCAGCATAGGCACCTTTTTTGGTCATGATCGAGTTCTCTTTGCTGCTACGAGGGTTAGAGACTGGTAATGCTCCATTCTTGGATGTTTCCACGGAAGCCATTTTTGAAGGTATCTACGTCCTCACTCTATCTATAATTTCTGATGAGAAAGTTCTGTGAGAGAGAGAGAGATAGAAGAGGGGAAAACACAGGAAAGAAGGAAGGGAATATTTGAGTTGACAGAGGTAAGGAAAGTGGTTTTTACGAACAAGTGACGGTGACTGTGAAGTCAGGGTCCACTAATATATGGATAATTCTATAATATCAAAATAAAATTTAATAATATATTAAAAGTTATTATCAAAATTGTAACTTTCCGAGTTACCACATTTAGATTCTTGCTTAGTCATATCTGCCCTGTGTCATTAGTTTAGTGGCTTATTATGAATTAAATGCATTTATGACTAATAAATTCCAACTAATCCTCATTTATCGTTTTTGTGATTTATTGTTTCTTTATAATTTATATGTTTTATATTTTTAAAATTTTATAATACAATCTGTTTGTGGGGCCCCTTTCTATTAAATGCCAATCGGCACAAGGCTAAGAAGGCCTAGCCGATCGCCAACTTCTGAGGCACGAGTGTCGGTCGGCAGGCAGCTAACCACGACCACGAGACACCTTGCTATCGCGGCTAGATGAGTCCTTCTTGGCTAAGGACCAATCTAGAATTAAGAGTCCTAATTTAATAATACTCTAAATATATAGGAGCCGTTAATAAAACAATTAAGATTAAAAATTTTAGTCTAACACTACTCTCAATTTTGAAGACTTGGTGATAAGGTTGATTCTATAACAACCAAAAGTTCATGTGCTTTTGGGACACAGTTTCTTATCACTATAAATAAAGACTTTCGAGTATGCGGTAAAAACATTCAATCTTTGTCTATTCACTCTATACTTTTTTTTGACTTGTTATCTAACTTTAGCATCAGAATCTCTTTGTCTGCCTCTGGCCATCGGTTCACCGAGTTCTCTCCGGTCTTACAAGATCCTTAAGGTTTCTTTACTGTCATCTCTGTCTGTACAACGTGATGACTCCCCATGAGGATTTCTCCCCGTACAAATGGCACCATTTGGGAAAAATGACTAAATTTTTTGATAATCCAGAAACTTTGAACCATGTCTAGCAAGAGAACCAACGACCCAACAACTAGCCACATGAACTTACACTACCCTCAATCCTTGAAGATCTCTCGAGCTATGACCTCCAATTGTTCGAGGAAACACTACCTCGAGATGAGCAGGAGCACCTAGAAAAGCAACATCCTTCTTCGTCACAACCTACCATCTCTCGATGTAGAAGGCGAACTAGCTATCGAGATACCCTACCAAGGAGCGATAAGGAAGAAGATGGATGAGTTAGAAGCCCTCAAGCAAGGCTCCTTTGCCAAAAGGGCAAGAAACATGCTAGCCAAGTTAAATGCCCGCCTCATCAAAGTGACCACCACAATGATCACTTAGAGGAAGCTCAATCTAACCGTCATAGGAGCAATTCTCCGACAAGGAGCTATTCAACCAATGATAGTCGTTGAGGCAGGTTCTCACCAAAACGCACTACTTCACAATGCTTACCTAGGGACCCTTCACCCAAGAAGCATCTCGCACCCAGCCAACCTCCATGGTGGAACCTTAAGACTACTTTGCCTCCAGTCAACCTCCGTGGTTGCACCTTAATGGCTACTTCGCCTCTAACTAAACTCCGTGGTTGCACCTTATGGCTACTTCGTCTCAAACCAACCTCTGTGATTACACCTTTATGCTATCTCTCCTCCAGCCGATTTTTGTGGTTGCATCTAAAGTCAACTTCTATGGTTGCACCTTAAGGCTACTTCGCCTCTAGCCAACCTCCGTGGATGAACCTTAAAGCTACTTCACCTCCAACTAACCTCCGTAGTTGCACCTTATAGCTTCTTGGTTTCCATGTGACCTCCACGATTGCCTTTTAGGCTTCTTAGCCTCCATGCGACCTCCACAATCTCTCTTTAGGCTACTTAGCCTTCATTTGCTACAACCTCTAATGTTGCCCCTTAAACTACCTAGCCTTTATGTATCGCAACCTCTAAGGCTGCCCCTTAGGCTACTTAGCCTCCATCTACAACAACCTCCAAGGTTGCCCCTTAGGTTATTTAGTCTCCATTTATTATTTCGCAACCTCCAAAGATTGTTGTTTGGGCTACCTAACCTTTAACAGACATCTCAAGCAGGCTACGCTTGCTCACCCAGCTATTCAACCTTTTCATGATGATATTCTTCCCAAAGGAAAAACGAGCTAGTTAGGCAACAACTACCCAACCAACTCTCAAGCAAATTGAAAGAAAAATTACTTAATCACAAAAGAGTGATTACTTTCATTACAAAAGAAGAACAAATGTTCAGTAAACAATGAAGTTAGATTGTTTCATAAATGACCAACACAAAATGAGCTAAAACTAATGATGGGCTCTCTCTATCTATGCGGCATCAGACACCTCAAACTTAGAGGATCATCTTCCCTCAGTTAGAATAGGGGACACTAGTGCAAGAAGGCTCGAACCTTCACCTCCAAGAAATTTATTCTTGATCGTTGGAATCGGGAGATCTCTCTCAGGGCATGGAATGTCCTCCCAAGCTGGGGATCCCTTCAATCCTAACTGCCTTCAAATCTCCTCCCTAACCATCTCCAAAAACCTTGTTCTTCTCCCTGACATATTTATTCTTCATTTTGTTCAAAATCCTGGAGTAATAATCACAAGCAACACTCTTCACTTGTTCCTCTATCTCAACATTCTCCTTTTAGGCCTTGGCAAGCTTCTCTTGAAGCTCATTAGCTTGAGACTCTGCCTCTATAACCTTCCTCTTCAAAAAGGCATTCTCTGTTCTAAAATCTTCAAGTTGTTTTTTGAGCTTGATAGTTACTCACCTTACAAGGCAGTAAGAACATTCTTCAACCAAACTCAACACAAATATTTTCTAGATTGAAATCAAACCCTCCAAAGCCTACAAGTTTTCACAAGTCTCAAATCAAAGTGGGCACATGTAAGAATACATGAAAAACACGCGAAGAATATTCATAGACTCAAGCAAAAAGACGAAGAAGATTAGAAAATTCATGTGAAAAGAAGAAGTACATTCAAAGGTTCATACTTAAAAGCTTGGAATTTTTTCAACTAACCACAAGGAGGTAACACTCAAGTGGCAGCTTCAACAACAGCAATGGCAGCGGCTCTTAAGGCTCCAAGTCACTCTCCTCTCTCTATTAGTCAATTTCCAAAGTAGCGTAAAGAAGAAAGAGAGGGAAAAAGGAATTTAAAGCCCTAAGCTTTTTAGGCAAGAGAAGTCCCGTAGGCAAAAGTAAAGGCCCACGAAGTCTAAACTCTTCAAAAATATGCCTCGTTTAATTTGATCAACTAAAAGAAGCATAGGGGGAAATTGTGGGGGGCGTTTTCTATCAAGTGCCGACTGGCACAAGGCTAGGAAAACGTAGCCGACCAGCAGCCTCTAAGGCACTAAAGTGGCAGGCAGCTAACCATGACCTGGGAGGTACCTTGTTATGCCTTTTGATTTCCGACCTCCGCTAGACGAGTCCCTCTTAGCTAAGGATCAACTTAGGACCAAGAGTCTTAATCCAATACTACTCTGAATATTCACGAGCTAGTGATAAGGCACCTAGGAGTAAGAATCCTAGTTTAACACTATTTCGAACTTTGAGGACCAGGTGATGAGGTTGATCCTATCACAACCTAGAGTTTGGGTTCCTTTAGGACATGACTTCCCATCACTATAAATAAAGGTCTCTAAGTACCAAGTAAGAGCATTCAATTCTAGCTTATTTATTCCATACTTTTCTTCGACTTGCTATTTGACTTTAGCATCAAAGTCCCTTTGACTACCTCCAACCATCTGTTCACCTACCTTTCTCTTGTTTTGCATGATACTTACTCAAGGCTTACTTACTGTCATTTCCGTCTGTACAAGGTGGTGACTCTTGTGCAGAATTCTACCTGCACACTATTTTTATATTTTATGTTTTAGTAGTTTTTTGTTTCATTGTATATATAACTTTTTATATTTTTTTTATAACAAATGATTTTTTTTCAAGAGTTATAATATATCCAAAAAAGAGAAGTTTTGGCTACTCCCCCCAAAATCAACAAGTCAGACTATCACTAAACCCGACGCCGTATCACAAAACCGTCGTTGATTTGTCCATTCCATCTCGCCACATCCCTCTCTCTCTCCATTGATGCAAGAAAGAGAGCTAAAAATGATGTTGAATACGCTGCTTCCACGCAACAAGTAAGCATTCACTTATCAACTCTTATCCTAATTGCAGGTTCATACATATGCATAACTTTATATTTTTTATATGATTCTCACTTAATTAACAATGTTCGATATCATTACTATTTTCAGTGCGATTTTGATGCTAATTTCAATTATTGATCTCAAATATGAGCTATTCAGAGTGCATGGATGAGAGAATATTGAATTAAATTAGATTTTGTGTCTGTAGTATGTGTGTTAGGGTTCGACCAACATGAGATCGAAATGATAGAAGTAAACATAGCTCCTTCAATGAGCCAAACGGTGCCCAAATTGTGTATTTGAAGGATAATGTGGTAGTTCACCCGTCTCAGTATATGTCTTAATCGATTAGCGGCCGATTGAAGTTGATTAAGGCAAGGATCTTTTGTTCATGGTATATATTTAGCGTTAATTATAGAAAATAGTCGTCTCTTGCACACGAAAAATGTATTCATATAATCTATCTAATATTATTGCTAGAAAGTAGAATTCTTAATTTATAAAAATACAATAATAGTTAAGATTGATTCAATTTTCATCTATTTTGATCTGTCCTCATTTTTTCTCATTCTCAAAAACATCATTTTCTTTAGACGATCCCCAATGTCAAACAACCACGCTAATCAACACTTATCTCTTTCTTACCTCTCTCTTAAAGAAAAGAAAATGAAAAATAAAAATAAATTATTATTTAAAATATAAATATTTTATAATCAATGCTCAATTTTTTGTATTGCAAAGTGTTTTCAAGTGTTATTGCTAGTATGCCTATGTACATGTTGTGTGTGTATGAATTTATGGTTGCCATTGTCTGGGTGAATTCTTGTATGTTTGAATGCAAGGCTAGCTGAGAGAGGTTA